TTTGCTTTAGTGCCCTGGATGGAGTCTGAGGTCCACGGTAGGGGTCTGAGAGACTGGCTAGGGAATATGTTAATTGATGGGTGCCCTGTGAAAGGGCTACTGGGGCAGGGAATCCTTCTGGAAAGGGGGCTGAGCAATCCACTTGCCCCCCTCCCCAAGGAAGTGAACATGAGCCTTATCGGCAGTGCGCATCCACCCCTGGACTGTGGGTTTGGTGGCTGTAGTAGGAAGGTTGGTCTCTGAGCCTGGCAGGTAGGTTTGGTGAACTAACAAGGAAATTGTTAGGCAATGGTGTGGGGCTCCCAGCTTGCTGCCAAGTACCCCACGGGTGGGAGGGTGTCAGTACAGGGGGGCATTGGACTGTTACATGAAATAGTCTGGCCTGCATTGGCTTGCAGAGCTGGGTGCTGGCAGTGCATCAGCTCCAGCCCCCATAGTGGCACTGTGCCATACTTGCCGCGGGGCTGCACCCCAATAGTTGCTGCCAAATGAGAGGTTTGGAATTAAAAAATCTCCCCCTTTGTCCCAGCATAGAGCTCAGCTGCAGGCCCCCGGCAGCCTGTCCTGGCCAGCCGGTGTTCGCCTTTCCTGCGTCACCAGTGCACCTTGTCCTGGCTCTGTGGCCTCTGCTGGCTTCGTTCTGTTATTGAGGTGCCTGACAAGGAATCCGCAACGGGGAAGGAAACGAGAGTGCCAGGATCGCTGGGGGTGGGGCGTAAAGACGGGCTGCATGGAATTGCACAGAGCAAAGGTTAAAGGAGCTGCCTCAGCCAGCTGGCCTCTTGCTGTTTGTTTTCCCTCTCATGCCCCTTCATTTTCAGTCTCTGCCCTTTGCTTTTCTGGGCCATGAAGATGTCCCTTCCCTACTTCGGATGTGGTGAATCTCTGCTCCAGGTATTGGATTAAATCCTGTGACAGCTAATGGCTGCTGGCCCCTTGTAGGCCACACTCAGAGCCACCTCTGGGATTCAGGCAACTCGACCAAGGGCTGGATGGTTTAGCCAGGAGCCCCAGAGGGCAGGGCCAACAGAGCTGCCCTGGTCCTTTCAGCTCCTATGGTGCCCCCTTTTTGCTCTTTCCCAGTTAGTGGGTTCCCTGAGACTGGTTATTCCTTGAGTCACTGAGAATCTATGGACCAAACGCTAGAGGTGCCCGGCAGCTGTCTGTTAAAATGTCAGTTGTTTTGTTCAGCTTGTTTGGCTTCTGGCCCCAGCTCAGTTGAGGGGAAGTTAAATAACAACAGAGCGAGGGGAGCAGGGTGCTGTGGCCCTGCAGTGCTCGCGGAGGTGCTACTCCATATGCAGCTGTGATCCAGAGCCAGGCGGGGTTAGAGCTCAGTGCCGCTCTTAGGATTTTATTCTCAGCGCAGCCTAACACCCTGTGGGCTCTTTCTTGATCACAGCTGTGCATGGGGCAGATGCCTCCCTGAGCACTGTGCTGAGTAGGACCAGAATCACCTCTGGGTCTTCACTTGGCCTCGGGGGGTCATCCTGCTCTCTGGTCCTGCACAGGTGCAATATGGAGTTGTGTGCAGCCTGAGGCTTGGACTGGGTGGGCACTGTCTTGTTCTAGCAAATCCTGTGTTCCTAGAACAAAGCAGGATTTGTGAGCAGGAGGAGTCTGCCCCCAGGAATGTTTAATAGCTGCAGGGGCCAGCAGAGCCCAACCCGCTCTGCTAGGAGACAGCATTGCAATCCCAGAGTCCTAGGGCAGTTCCAGGCCAAGAGGATGTTGGATTGTGACCTGGGGAATCATTGCTGCTTAAATAACTCAGCAAGGGCTTGAAATTGCCTTCTAAGGGTACGTCCAAGGGTACATCTAAGCGATCGATTTATCGGGGATCGATATATCATGTCTCATTAAGACGCAATATATCGATTCCCCGAACGCACTCCCCATCAACTCCAGCACTCCACTGGAGTGAGCGGCGGTAACGGAGTCGACGGCCGTTGATCCCGCGCCGTGAGGACCCAAAGTAAATCGATCCAAGATACTTTGACTTCAGCTACGCTATTCACGTAGCTGAAGTTGCATATCTTAGATTGATCCCCCCACAAGTGTAGACCAGCCTTAAGCTGCACTAAGGTTAGAACATAACTTCTAATGGCACAAAGGGTTGGAACCAGTCCCACAACCTCTCTGACACCACGGCCAGGCAGCGGGCACTTACAGTAGACCAGCAGCCTGGAGGCCTTTTTAAATCAGTGGGCCTAGCCAGAACCCTGTCCAGGAATCTCTAAGCAGGAGCAATGCCTAGACTACCCACCCAATGGCTGCATTAGCTCATGCTGTGCTCACCTGAAAAGGCTCTGGGCCCAGCCTGTGTGGTAATTAGGGTGACCAGATCACCCAGGTTAAATATCGAGACGCGCAGGGGGGAGGAGGGGGGACAGAGGGAAAAAAGAAAAAACGTCGGCAGAGCAAACCCCCCCCCCCGATTCCTCCTCCCTCCGCAAGCGCTGGAAGAAGGCCCGGGAGACACAGGGGTGTGCGGGGGCCGGGCTGAGTGTGAGTCCGGCCTGGCCCCAAGCAGGCAGGACTTGGGCGCGGTACCTGGAGGGAGAGTAGGGGGGTGGCCCGCGGGGCCAGGCGGCGGCTGTTCTCCCCACCTGGGCAGCGGGTCTCGGGAGCAGCCGCTGCTGCAGCTCCCCCTGCTGCGGGTGGAGGAAGCGGCCAAGCACGTGGTGCTCGGCAGCTGCGGCTCTGACGCCCCCGAAGCCCCCGAGCCCGGGCCTGCTGCGGGGACCCAGCAGCACGCACGCTGCGCCCAGCCCCTGGCCAGTCGCGTCTGGGCTGCTGCCCAGCTGGTGCAATCCCGCAGCGGCCCTGGAGTGGGGGCAGCAGGCCCCAGCCCCCCCATCCCGCTCAGGTCCCGCAGGGGAACGAACGGGGCTGCCGATGCCTCCACCCCAGGGCCGCTCGCAGGATTGCACCAGCTAGGCAGCCAGCCCAGACGTGACTGGCCAGGGGCTGGGCGGAGTGTGCGCGCTGTTGGGTCTTCGCAGCAGGCCTGGGTTCGGGGCCGCCAAGCACCATGTGCTTGGCCACTTCCTCTCCCGCGGCAGTGGGAGCTGCAGCAGCGACTGCTCCCGAGTCCCGCTGCCCAGGTGGGGAGAACAGCCGCCGCTTGGCCCCACGGGCCGCCCCCCTACTCTCCCTCCAGGTACCACGCCCGAGTCCTGCCTGCTCCGGGCCAGGCCGGACTCGCACTCAGCCCGGCCCCATGCTCCCCTGTGTCTCCTGGGCATGGCATGCTTGGGAAGAGGCGGGGATTTGGGGCGGGAGCCAATGGGGCAGTGAGGGGGTGGGTATTTGAGGAGGGATCCAATGGGGGAAGGAGGGGGTGGGGGGGGGAGCCCTTCCGGGCTCTGCCTGTGTGCGGGAGCCTTGCTTGTTTGTCCAGTGTCCCGACCTATTGTTGGTCGGGACGCGGGACAAACAAGCAAATATCGGGACAGTCCCGATAAAATCAGGACGTCTGGTCACCCTAGTTGTAATAAGAACAGGAGTATTTGTGGCACCTTAGAGACGAACAAATTTAACTCTGTATGCATCCGAAGAAGTGGGCTGTAGTCCACGAAAGCTTATGCTCTAATAAATTTGTTAGTCTCTAAGGTGCCACAAGTACTCCTGTTCTTTTTGCGGATACAGACTAACACGGCTGCTACTCTGAAACCTAGTTGTAATGCGGCACAATGGTACCTGCTGGGAGCTCCATGGGTGGGGCTGCGCTTTGGCCACGGTAGGCTGAAGGATTGTCTCTGCACCAGATGTTCACCATGGGTTGCATCCTGAAATCCTCAACCCCCCACTCAGCTGCTGGAGGTGCCTAAATTTCCAGCGGCTGATGAGCACAAATCTGCCTCAGTCCTGACACCGCAGAGCTGCTCTGCCCCTGCCTTGCACCTAGGCATCGCCTATGGGCCCGATGTGGTAGGTGTGGTCAGAGGGGGTGACCGAGTCTATCCAGCCCAGGTGTTTGGGCACTTCTCTGTGATATGGGCCAGCTGTTTTCACATCCTTGCTGTGCTGGATTTAGAACCGGGGTCACCCGCCTTCCAGGTGAGTGCCCTAAACACCCGGCCATTGACTCTCCTGGGTGGGAGTCTCTCAACCTCTTGCTGAAGCTGTTTCCATTTGTATAACTAACTCCTGGCAGCCAGAGAGAACCCAGCGAGAGCTGCGGGGTGAGGGTGCTCTCTGGGGAGGTGGGAGACAAGTCCTTGCTCCACCTTAGGAAGAGCAGGGATTTGAAAACTGGTTTCCCCCCCCCAGCTGAGTGCCAAAGGACAGGGCATTGAGCTATAAGGGAGGAGGGGGCTGCTTTGCCACTGAGGCTTTTCCTGAGAAAGGGCTGACTTGGCATTCTCAGCTGAATGCCCTGTCTGGCTAAGGACAAGTGAAGACAGGTGCCACGTTACCTTGGAGGGGCTAGGCTTATCCCGGCCCACTCCTTGGCATTACCCACTGGCTGACGTAGGCAGCTCCCCGCTCAGCACACCGGCTGCTGAGCATCCTTGTCTTAGGTGAGTGACTCTCCCCTAATCGCGCCTGTGAGTAACGCACTGCAATAGTGAACAGTGGGATACTAAAGTCCTGTCATCCCTGGCATGGTGCTTGAGGCTGGCTGGGGCATGAGCAGGGGTACAGATCTTGGGTGGGGCTTCTGCCAGTAAGGGGCGTCCAAGGAATTGGGTCTTGGGTGGTCAAGCTGTGGTACAGTAGGTGGGTTTGGTTTGGTTTCTTGTCACTGGCAGCACAGCTCTGAAACCCCAGGGCAGAGAGTCTGCAGAGCCATCTCCTGGAGCGTGTGCAAGTGCCACTCGTGGGCCCCTCTGGAAGGCCCTTGCTGAATTAGCACCAGGGTGTAAATCACCTGCTTGGAGCTGGGTGATCCCGCGGCCACTGCAGTGATGGTGGGTGGGTTTTTACTATATGCAGCCTGGGTTTCCAGCAGATCGGGGCCTGTCTAGCCCTCACACACACTGCGCTGCAGCGGCTTGGGTGAAACAGGCCACATTTATTTACAGGAGCCACTGTCTAGAGTCGCACCGTTCTAGGCAAGTGAGCTCTGATTGCACCTGGTGAGCATGCCCTGGTGATGAATCGTAGCTGGTGCAGAGCGTTTGGCTGCACCTGCTTTTGGCATTGGGCCATCTTCACCCCTCGGCAGCATGAAGGAGTGTACGTGGGCTAAGGAAGTAGTGCTCCAGGCGCTCTGGTAACCATTCCACCCCACGCTTCTCTCCTTCCCTGAGTGCAAAAATGCAGCTTCACAGCTTGAGGTTCTGCCCGATCCAGCCCCGGACGGCGGTCACTTTGGTGTAAACGCCAGGGAAGTAAGGCCTTGCACAGCCATAGCCCCAGCTTGTGATTCCAGCTAGAAACCACCGCCCTGAGGGTTCCTTGCAGGCCAAGGGGCCACCTGCATCGCCCTGCGGAAAGAGGGAAACCAGCCTGTGTCAGGGCAAGAGACATGCTGGGGTGCCCCATGCCTGCATGCTGCTTACAGGTGCTCTTGCTCCCAGCAGCGGGTTCCTGAGAGTCACCTTCTCAGGGGCCCAGCTCAGCTCCATGGGGAGCTGATCCCCACAACTCCCTGCTTCTGGGGTGGCTCTGCACATGAGCTTGTATACACAGGCTGTGGCCTGAGATTAGGGGTCTCTTGTGAGGAGAGAGGCCCTGGGAGTGGTGACTGGCAATGAAACACAGGGCTGTTAGCAGGGGGAGGACAGCAGCTGTCCAATGCCACCTGGTGTTCCCCTGCCGCTCCCCGCAAGGGGCCAGCCAGGGAACAGTTGGGGGGGGGGGGCAAGGGCCCAACAAGGGAGAGGTTGTGCTGAGGGAAGTTTCTGCCCTGTGGGCCCAGCTCCAGGGCTCCCTTGGCCAGTCTGTGCTCACCGAGCAGCTGTCGATGGTGCCCTGCGGGAAGCCGGCACACACCATCCTGCTGCTGATCTGGATGGGGTAGAATTTCTTGCAGGCCTGGTCGCCAATTACATTTACTGCAGCCTTTTGCAGGTGCTTGGACATGAGGCCTATAAAGACAAAGATCACTGTCAGCCTGTGTGCCTGACCCTGGAACTTGGGGAGAGAGGTGTCCTGTGATGCTTGACTGCAGCATGTGGCACCCAGGCTATGGGCCAGCTCTTGTGGTATGCGGGTGAGGCCTCGCTTGGGGAAGGCTGGGCTGTCTTCCTGCCAGAGCAGGTGTGCACTGGGCAGCTGGATATGTTAGTCAGGGGTTGTGTTGATGGGAATGGTGCGGGTGTTCACAGGCAGATGATTTAGCTGGAGTGTGGGAATCAGGGATGGCACAGGCAACAGCCAAAGGGGGGTGATGCACGCATCAGAGCAGGGGGAGTGGGAGCACAGCTGTAAGGGACTGACGTGGATATTGGCTGCACTGGGCAGGTGTGTGTATCATATGGGAGGAACAAGCTAGAGGGGGTGTTGGTATTAGCTGGAGGGGTACGGCACGGTGTGGGTGTTACTGGAGGGGTATGGCATGGAGGGCACCTCGGGTGTTGGCTGGAGGGGTAGGGCGCAAACAGTGGCCAGTTGGGGCAGCCCATGCATTGGCTGGACGCACAGGTGGCCATGGCTGTACGGTGTACAGCACGGTACCATCTGGGTCCCTGGGGCCATACCTCCTTCCTTGGTGGCGCCCCAGCCTGTGATGAAACAGCGGGCCCCTTCCCTGAAGACGTGGGAGTTGTCCGGGAGGCAGATGGGCTTGATGGTGCTGGTGAACCGCACAGCTGTGGCCAGCTCCAGCAGCGCCACGTCATAGTCCAGTGTGTAGACATTGTAGAATGGGTGCTTGTAGATGCGGAAGATTTTCTCCACCCTCCCGTCCGTGCCACTCAGGAAGGGCGTCCCCAGAACGGCCACCCACATCTTGGGGTCACTGTAGCTGCAGGGTGGGAGAGAGCAGGAGGGCTGTTCAGGAGGAGGCCCAGCCCAGCCAGCAAGGGGGCCCGTTCCTGCAGGCGCTTGGGGCTGGCATACGCCATGGAAGCGCTTGCTGAGCCGTATGAGGAAGCATTTGCCCCAGCCCTGAGCTCAGTGAGCAGCCCTCCCCTTGCCCAGGGTTTCAATGGCAGTGCCCCTATGACTGATTCTCCATGGTCCCTGCCCCGGGCAGTAGCTGTGTGGTGGGGCTCTGACACTGGGCAGGAGTGCTGGCTTGGCAGCCTAGAGCCTCCCCCAGGGCACCCTGTGCAAAGGGTCTGAGTGGAACCAGGCAGCGTCCTGGAGGGGTGATGGACGGGGAGGCTGAGGACAGGTGGAGGAAGAGCTGAGCAGACAGCCTGCCTCTGGTGGGCCGGAGGAGGTTCCGGCTGGGCCAGGCTGTGGTGACCCTGTCTCACTTACACGTCGAAGCAGTGAGCTGCTGAGAGCAGCCATTTGTCAGCAATGAGGACGGCCCCACACTTGTGCTCCTTCCGCCGCAGCCAGAGGCTGACCTGCCAGGGCCACTCACCCCGGGCCGCTCCGCTGCCACCCACGATCTTGCTGAAGGCCACGGCAGGGGTCATGCCGCAATCTGAGACAGAGGGAGAAGGCAGCTGCTGGTTAAGCAGACATGAGAGGCTGAGCTCCCTCCCTGCCCCACAAGGGGCAGGTTCCTGGGAGAGGCGTGGGCAGCCCACAGGGCAGTATGACAGCCGGGCCCATGGAGCTGCCCTAGGATGTTAGTGGGGAGGCCAGAGGGATTGGGGGAATGGCTGTGGGAAGGAAGAGCTGGGTTTGGCAGATACGGAGTAAACTGGTTTTGCTGGGACCCTGGTGCAAAGGACCCAACGGCTGTCACAGAGGGGTTGGGTTGGACGATCAGGGGGTGCTTCCTGCCCAGGCAGGCTGGGCCGTCAGGCTCTATGGAGCTTCTGGACCAGATCATGGTCAGACTTGGGTGGAGTGGTGGGGAGCGGGGAGCGGCCTGGGGGTAAGTGGCAGGATGGGAGTGGGACAAGCGGCAGGCCGTGGGTGTCCACTTCCTGTCACAGATTTGTACATTTTGGGTGGGGCTGGGCCTGCAGCTCCCCTCCGGAGCAGGGACTGACTCAGAGGAATGGGATGGAAGCCTGGGTCCCCAAGACTCAGGCTGGGTGACAGGGGCAGGAGCAGCGTGGGGCCAGGTGGCAGAACTGGGAGGGGAGAGCTTGGTAGGTCTTGCGGGGGGAGGGGGAGAATGACAGTGGAGCATGCAGGGCTGGGCAGAGGAGAACCAGGCAGGGCTTGGCTTGGGGGCAAGACAGTAGAAAGGGCTGGGCAGGCGGGACGGCTTGGCAGGAAGGCAAGTGGGGACAGCCAGGCAGGGCCAGGCAGGGGGGGTGGGGGCAAGGCAGGGAAAGAAGGCCTGGCAGGGCCGGGCAGTATGGAGGGCTGGGCAGTGGTAAGGGCCAATCAAGGCCGGGCACTGGGAAGGACCGGGCAGTAAGGCTGGGCCAGGCAGGGGGGAGGGCTTGGCAGGTGGGGCCGAGCAGTGGGAAAGGCCGGGCCAGAAGACCCGGCAGGGCCAGGCAGCACTCACTGCAGTTGCGCTCGTCAAAGCCGTTGCTGCAGTCAGTGACACCGTCGCACTCCGGGTTCGCTTTCCCAATGCAGATCTTGCTGGAGCACTTGAAGGTGAAGCTGGTACAGGGCACCACTGGAAGGTGACAACCCACAGCCCACTCAGCATGTGGCCTGCGGGGTTGGGCCTGTCTGATATGGGGCTGGATTGTTCCCTGCGACGGAATGTGCTTGCTGCATGGCAGGAGCGCTTGTCTCCCCCATACTCCACCGGTGCAATGGAGGTGCCCCCCCACTGGTGCCTGCCATGCAGTTTGGGTGCCTTCCCCCTCCTCTGGTGACGGATGTGTGGTGAGGGCTCTCCCTCCCCATTCACAGGCACCCCAAGCCTAGCCCGAGTCTGTTACCTGGGAGCTGGCTGGGCCTGGCAGCCCCTGTGGTCTTCGGAGCAGCAGTGGTGGTTTTCCTGGGGGTAGCAGCTGGCTTGGTGGTAATTTGGCTGGCTGGGCTGGTGGTTGCCTCATTGCTGCTGGGCTGGGCTGGGGAGCTGCTTGTGGTGGAGGTCCTGGCAGTTGCCGTGCTGGGCGAGGTGCCTGCTCCAGAGCTGAGGTTGGGCTTGGATGAGATGGCATCTAGGATCCAGTCCTTGAGTTTGGTTATTCTGGAGTACACCCCTGGCCTCTTAGCCTGAGCACAGCCAATCCCCCAGCTTACAACACCGGCCAGGTAGAACAGGCCTGGGGTCTCCTCACAGGCCAGCGGTCCACCCGAGTCCCCCTGGGGAGAAGCCAGGCAGTGACAGCTCAGTATACTCTTTCCAGAGCCCCTGAGGGAACTTCTCAAACAGAGGAACCGCCAGGTGCTACAGAGAAATGGACAAGAAACTGTGCATTGCACACTTGTGGAATATCCTGCTTGTAGGGGGAATTTCACCCAGCCTCTCAAGGTCAGCTCATGCCCTGAAGCACCCATACCCTCTCACCCCATCTAGTGTGACTGTGCACACACTCTTTAGCTAATTCAATGGTCTGTTGTGTTTAGAATCTGAACCTCTGGACCTTACTGATATCATGTGGCATTGAGTTCCACAGGGTAACTATGTAAAACAGTATTTCATGTTTTGAGTTTTCAGTGCACTGCCCTTCCCTTGTACAGAACAGCTCCTTGTTCTCCTGTCAGGAGGGTTTGGGGTCAACAAGTGCAGCTCACTGACGTGCCTTACGTGCATTTCTACAGGCCTCCAGGAAGCAGTCACAGTCTCTCTAGACAACCCTATGGCCAGCCATTAGGGGCAGGGGCAGCATTTTGTACCTGGGGTCTTGAATATTCCTGCGGTGTAGCAGAATTGTGGTTTAGAAGGTCACTCACTAAACTGCATGGGGGCTTCATTTATCTTTCCTAAGATAGTGAAGAGCCAAGCTGCCCGCCGATCCTGACAGATGGACCGTCCTTCTCATTGGTCCATGTCAGAGGTGGGCAAACTTTTTGGCCCAAGGGCCACATCTGGGTATGGAAATTATATGGTGGGCCATGAATGCTCACAAAATTGGGGGTTGGAGTGCAGGAGGGGGGGAGGGCTTTGGTTGGGGGTGTGGGTTCTAGGGTGGGGCTGGGGATGAGGGGTTGGGGGTGCAGGAGGGTGCTCCAGGCTGGGACTGAGGGGTTTGGAGGGAGGGAGGGGGATCAAGGCTGGGGCAGGGGGGTGGGGTGCAGGAGGAGGTCAGGGGTGCAGGCTCCGGGCGGCGCTTACCTCAAGCAACTCCCAGAAGCAGCAGCATGTCCCCCCTCCAGCTCCTAAGCAGAGGTGCAGACAGGAGGCTCTGCGTGCTGCCCCATCTGTAGGTGCTGCCCCTGCAGCTCCCATTGGTCATGGTTGCCAGCCAATGGGAGCTGCGGGGGCAGTGTGCTGAGCCCCCTGGCTGCATAGGAGGCGGAGAGGGGACATGCTGCTGCTTCTGGGAGCCGCACAGAGCCCTGGCATGCAGGGAGCGGGGCAAGCCCCAGACCCCGCTCCCCAGCTGGAGCTCGAGGGCCAGATTAAAA